ATAGATAGATAGAGAGAGAGAGAGGGAAAAGAAGTAGCTCCGAGGAAGAGGAGGAGGCTTGATCAGACGCAAAAGCCGTTTTCACTTTTACACCCACGCGTCTCACAGGCATTGCATGCACACAAAAGATGTGCCATAGAGGGCAATGACATGCGACCATGTTGCAGAAGCAAAAAAAGAGACGTGATTTCTGCGAGGTGCAACTGTCTGGTCACGAGTGCCTCCGTTGCACACTACCCGCATCCAGTCGACACACCAACAAGCATGTCCGACGACAGGTCGGCAAGACTCCGTGGAAATCGTGGAAGGGTGAGCCGAGGACTCGGACGTGAAACCCGTCAGACGAACTGGAACAAACAATTGTGCCTATTTACAATTCTGTTCGCTTGACATGAGTCTTGTCATTGTTTTAATCACCGACTTATTGCATTGCGTTCAGCGCCGTCTCTGGGCAACTTCAACACGACTCATGCTCTCTTCGCCGGCTCCGGCGTTGGCTCTCTCTCCCGCAGTCTTTCGGTGGGTCAGGCGATGGGCAATGCGCACTCGGTCGCCTCGCAACAGACGACGCCGTCGCCCTCGAACCTTGGCTCGGTCGGCGCCGGCTCCAACATGATTGGTCTCTACGCGACTCAGACGTCCCTTTCGCCTTACCCATTGGCGGCCGGTGGGCACGCGGGCTCGAGTCCCGCGGGACTCGTCATGCCAACTAGCCAATCAGGACTGCTGGTCCCGCCGGGCCCGCTAGACTCCTCGTCGCAGGCCAGTTCGGCCAGTCCCGCGAGTCCCGCCCTGTTGGCGTCCGGCCAGTCGCATTCGCATTCGCAGTCGCCCGCTTGTCTCTTCGCGTCGGCGGCAAATCACGTGATTGCGGCGCCATCGGCCAATCTACAAATCAACGAGTCCCTCTCCACCTCGGCCTATAACCCCGGCTCGCAGATGCCCGCACGGCCGGGACTCGAGCTGGAGGCCAATCAGAACGCCGCCATGCTCGCCGGACTCGGCGGATTGGCCGGATTCACCGGCTTGCCCGGCCTCGCCGGTTTCGCCGGTTTCGCCGGATTGGCCGGTCTGGCCGGTTTCACCGGCTTGGGCGCCTTCGCCACCACCGCTCCGGCCGTTCCGCCGGCGGGACTCGTCAATGCGCCGGTCGTCTTCTGCAAGCGGGACATTTCGGTAATGCCCCACCTCCACTCTGTCTCGCCTCGGGCTGGGTCGCTTAAATTGAATTCAGTAGTGCTTAGGCAATTGTCGCCTCTTAACATGCCATTCGGTGTCATTCGAAAGACAAATACAAGTCCATACGAAGAAACGTTGGTTTGCAATTAAGATGTATGCTTCATATGTGAATAGAGTTTCAATACTACCAGTAAATCAGTAAGTAGTATGAGCTGTATTCACCATAGTTCGTTGAGGGCAGTGGTTCGCAACATGACTATTCGTAAGTAAGAGATAAATAAAGCTCGTGTATCTTTATTATAATTTTTTCACTTTATTAACATTAAATTAATATTTAGTAATTAATATGATGGATGAGCATGCAAATCACTGCACATTTTTTCAAATCGTGCACCAATACGACGTCGAGAATGGAATTGTAATGCGCTCAACCGTATCAATTAAAAGGCGGGATTCATCTTTTATTGAAATGAAACACCTTGCAGAACATTCCAAATCTGTACCTCGCCGTGTCTAATGCAATCTAACGGCCAAATGTGTGGCTTACATGAGTTATGCAGCTTTTACAATATTTCACGGCAACTCTGAAAAAAGAGGCCGCGGCGCACAGTTTGCCAATCACTGGTTCATGCTGATGGAGTTGATTTTTCCCACAATCAGTTGAATCTGGCGCGGTCTCGATTCCGCAAATGCCATTCCCATCCAAGCCGGAGTGAAGCAGAGTCTTGACCCCGTGTGAACCGGTCTTGTCAACAGCCCCAGCGGGACTCGAGCCATGACGCTGCCGCGTACATTCTCGACACGCTTTGGGGGGACAGGGCGGATGTGAACTGCAAGCAAGACCAAGCATTTTTCCATTTCACATTCAGTCACGGTTCCGTCGACGACGCACAGTCAGAATGCCATTTGGCAACGCAAAGCACCATTGCTTGTGGGACAATACAACTGCCAGTTTCCCCATCCCTCTTGACGAAATAGAGTGAATAAAACTCATTTATACGATCTACAGTTAGTCGCAAAAGTTACTGCCTAAATGGAAAATTGGTTTGCAATTATGTAGTCACAGTGACCAGAAGCTGTGAAGGTCAATTCTTGACCATCTCCTCTTTGTCGGCAGCGTTGCATTCTTTTGTGA